CGACGTTCTCGAAGGCCTATGTCCCCGGTCCTGAATTTGACCTTAAGCTTTGTTCCTGCATCCATTGGTCCATGTAGGTAGTCCTTGAACCCTATTCCTTCCTTCAACATTCCGTACACTTCTAGACCCTCCTTATCCTTGGATTCTTTCCTCAGATTCTGTTCTTCTCTCTCGGCACAAGCAACAGATATCTTCTCCTTGAACCCCTGCAGCCCCTCCGTTTCCAGCGTTTCATCTTCGTCGATGTCGAGCCCCTTCCATACGTCCTCTACAACCTTGACCCACTCCGTAGATTGTCTGCCCCTATTTTTGTTTCCCTACTTGGCCTCCCATACAATTCTCGGCAACCTCTCCTCTCCCATCCCGCACATACGATACTGCCATGTTAGCTTCCTCGCGTCTCTTCCCGGCCGTAGGGATTGGATCCCCAATTCTGCCCTGACGGCTGCATTACTTGTGCGCTTGGAGCATCCTAGGATGATTTCGCTGCTTTCATCTGCGCCGCCTCGAGTTCTTTCACTACCTTCTTATTTCCTTCCCATACTTCTCCGGCGTACTCTGGCGGTACGATTACGCTCTTCAAAACCGTCAATTTGATGCGTGTATCGAGGTGCCGGTTGGATGGAGGGGGGGGGGGAGGCTATCATTTGAAAAAGGGTAGCAGTTAGATTGACCCGTTACTGGGCCTGATAGATACACATATACAGAAACCTGACGGCAACAAATCAAGGGTTCAATCAATCGCACAGGAAAACGAACAATCTCGGTGGGCTTACCGGCGAGCCGATTCCAGCCACATGGGTTGCAGTTTAAGAAAAGAAGCAATTTCATATTCCAATCCACCTGCTTTCTTGCAACGACAACCTCGGCAAGACAACAATCAGAAGCAGAGCCTGCCTCCCACTCTTTTGCATCCTAAACCCCATTGCCCGTGGTTGAAAACACAACGCCGAAGGGCACCGCACAACTCTCGCTTAACGAACGAGCACATCAGAAACATCGTGTGGTCATGAGTAAATTTGCCATGCACCAAAAAGGCAAGAAAACAAAACCAGACGCAACAAGCATGAGGAGACGAACCCCCCCCATGGAAGGCATACATATCCATTGGCGAAAACAATCAAAGCGAAACTGAAACAGTGTGCGCAGGGTAATTCACTGAGGCCTTGATGGCGACTCTTTAGGGTACTGTATCGCGGCTAGTGTCCTGTAGGCGGCAGATATCTCACCAGTGTTGCCCAGAGTCTCGAAGTGCGAGCAAGAAACGTGAACGTCCGCCGAAGCATACACCGGGGCCAGATCCTCGTGCCCCAAGAAACCGATCCGGCAGTACACACCTCCCTGTCGCGGCATAATTCGTTCGGCACACAAAGTGTTAAAAAGAACGCGCGCACGGCGGTTGTCGTGCATACTTTTCCGGAGGTCTAGCGTGAGAAGCAGGCTTGGGCTGACATTCTTTGACCGTCATTGGAGATGGAGGAACGGCCCTTTTAAGAAAGAGGACATATTCCCTAACCCCTTGTTTCGTCAGGTGTGAACCACTTTCATGGCGTCTCGATGCGGCAGGGAAATTTGCTACCAACACCAAACGCGAACAACATTGTTTGTCAACGTCTCTCTCATTTATCTCCTGTTTGTCAGCTGCGCGGTCGGGTGTGCACGCCGAAGTATCTCGTGTCTACTAGTAGTCGGATGTTGCCCTCGGCTTCCCACTGCAACTTTCGCGTGGAAACGCAACGATCACCGCCCTGACGTGTGCGTGTGTGTTTTTGTGCACCCCCTGTTTCTCCCCTGTCCCCCCCCCCCCTGGTGTTTGCCATCGGGGTTGGGTTTTCGTCGCTTGGCAATGACGTTGTAAAACAAGCCAATTCACTTCGTGAACTCGGCAACCAGGTTACCGGGTTTTTTTTTACCTTTTTCGTTTTTTGGCGGTAACCATCATGGTGGTCGAGTAGATCCTGTTGTGCGGGGTGGAGAACCTCCGCGCAAGGGGAATGATCCCACCACGTTGTGTTCAAATGGTCAAGCACCCTCGAGGCAGTTACACAGTGCTTACAACTGTCTCTGGAAGTGAAAGCACCAGAAAATAAATTAAGTCATACGCAGCTGTCATCCGTACGCAAGGAAGTAAGCACAAGATGCCGAACACCCTTAGCAGGATGCAGCGCACCCGTCATGCCACTCGCCGAATACCTCACAGCGGTTCGCGCTTGGTGATGTGAGAGCCTGGTCCGGTGAGAACCCGGCGTGCTCCGTCCCGGCTT